GACTCTGGCTACCAGAATTGTGAGAGAATAAATTACTGTTGTTTTAAGCCACCAAGTTTACGGTAATTTGTTGTAGCAGCCACAGAAAAGTAATCTTTGAGAAAATCAATAAAAATTGATAAACCTCTAGCCAAAATAATGAGGACAAAAGGAGAGAAGACACAAATTAGCAATATCAAGAATGAGAGAGGTGACATCACTACAGATTATACAGACATGAAGGGATAAGAAAATATTATGAAACACTGTATGCCAGTAAATTTGACATATTAAGTAAAATAGACCATAGACATAAATTTACTCAAAATGGATCATAAACTTAAAAGTAAAACCTAAATTTATAAAACTTCTAGAGGATACATTTATGACTTTCGGTTAGGCAAAGATTTCTTAGAAATGACACCAAAAGCATAATCCATGAAAAAACATACTGGTAAAATCACTTCATCAAAGTTAAAAACTTCTGATCTCAAGAGAATGACAAGACAAGCGATAGACCAGGAAAAAAATATTTACAAATCATGTAACACTTGTTCCAGAATATATAAAGAGCTATCAAAACTCAATAAAAAGAAAACAAACAACCCATGTAAAAAATGGGCTAAAGTTCTGAACAAACACTTCATCAAAAAAAAAAAAAAAAAAATTCAGATGGCAAATAAGCACGTGAAAAGGTACTCAACATTGTTATTCATCAGAGAAATGCAAATTAAGACCACAATAAGATAGCACTACACACTTATTAGAATGGTTAAAAACTGAAAAAGACCAACCATACCAAATTTTGGCAAAGATGTGACAAAATGGAACTCTCAAACACTGCTAGTGGGAATGTAAAATGGTACGGCCATTTTGGAAAACAATTTGTCAGTTTCTTAGAAAGTGAAATATACACATATACCATTTGATCTAGTCATTCCACTCCGAGATATTTACCAAGAAGAAATAAAAGCGTATGTATGTACAAAAACTTGTAATGAATGTTCATAGCAGCTTTATTTACAACAGTCAAAAACTAGAAAGAACTAAAATAACCATCAACGGGTGAATGGATAAACAAACTGTGGTACAGCCATATGACAGACTACCACTCAGCAATAAAAAAGAATGAACTATTAACACGCACAAGAATATAGATATTGAGTAGTAATTTCAAAATAAATATGTTGAGTGAAAGAAGCAAGGCCAACCAGTACATACTGTATGATTCCATTCATAAAATTCTAGAAAATGCAAACTGATCCACAGAGACGGGAAGCAGTTCAGTGGTGTCTTAGGCATCTAATACTGCTATAACAGAAACACCACAAGTGGATGGCTTTAACAAACAGAAATTAATTTCTCACAGTCTCGTAGGCTACGAGTTCAAATTCAGGGCATCAAGCTCTAGGGGAAGGCTTTCTCTCTCTATTGTATCTGGAGAAAGGTCCTTGTCATCATCAATCTTCCCCCAGACTAGAAGCTTCTCTGCGCAGGGACCTCGGGTCCAAAGGATGCGCTCTGCTCCAAGCACTGCTTTCTTTGTGGTACGAGGTCCCCCAACTCTCTGCTTGCTTCCCTTTCATCTCTTAAGAGATAAAAGGCAGTGCAGGCCACACCCCAGGGAAACACCCTTCACACTGGATCAGGGATGTGACCTGGGTAAAGGTGGTATTACAATCCCACCCTAATCCTCTTTAATGTAAAATTACAGTCACAAAATGGAGGACAAACACAGAATACCAGGAATCATGGCCTAGCCAAACTGATACACACATTTTTTGAGGGATATAACTCAATCCATAACAAGTGGTTTCATGGGAACTGGGATAGAGGGGCAGCAAGAAGCCAAAGCAAGAGATTACAAAAGGCAGAAGAGGACACTTTTGCAAGGTTTGGATAGGTTCATAATCTTGACCATGGTGATGGTATATAAACTTGTAAAACTGTATATTTTGAATATCTACAGTTTACTGCATGACAATTATATTTCAATAAAACTGTTGAAAATAACGAATACAATTATCTCTGTTTGCAAAGAACACAGAATCTGCCATATAAATTTACTCTATAAAGCTAAAAGTATTATTTTGATAAGCAGGGAAAGGAAAATTTTTTAAAGCAGACATATACAAAAAGACTAAAAATACCTCTTGATATCCACTAAAAACTTTCCTTAATGATGTCATTTTAAAATTTTTATTAAACTATTTTTTATTTCAACTTAATGTTTTGTTTATGAAATGCATTAACATGGTTTAACACTCTAAAGGAACAAAAGGGACCCACCCCATCCTCTAGCCACTCACAGTTCTCCTCCAACGGTTACCAATGTTGTCAGTTTCATATAATTAAAACATAATTTAAATGCAATTAAACTGTAGAAAAAAATTTTAGAACGCAGACATAATTTTTAAATTACTGAAAAGATCATAAAGATTTATAAAAGTAGTTTACATAGCTAGTAAACTTGAAACATCCAAAAATAATTTTAAAGAAAGAAACTCTTTTCACATGTCAAAAATACATACCTGCAGCAAACCGTATTTGGTTTCTACATCATAAAGTTTATAATCCTTAATGTCTGGAGATATGGGGGAAGGTAGGTTTTCCCAGTTACCAAGAACATTGGCTAAGCTGGCAAAAACTGGTTCTGTACAAAATGCCAAGCAATCTCTGTTTTAAGGAAGAAAAAAAAAGTTCTTATCATTTTTTCCACATTATCAAAATCAAATATCTAAATATATATAAAACATTAATGGTCCTATTAAACTATCAACAAGCAGGTTGACCATTTCAGATTTGTTAATTTCACTTAGTCTTTCAAACTGTTTTTGACAGTTGTGATACATTTTTTAAAATTCAGGAAGTCAGAAGATAAACATTATTTCAACTGTGCTCCTCAAAACATTGATATTCTTTATGGAAAACAAATGAGCTACCATATTTTTACACAAATAAAGTGTATTTTCTGTGTTTGTCAATCGTGCCCACCTGTTAAAAAAAATTAGCATAGCACACTTAAAAAAATAGCTTGTGGGGGGTGGGCATGATTGGCAAAATTAGAAGGCATGCATTATTATTGTAAAAATACAGTAATTTAAAATAATGTTACATTATGCTTGTCTTATCCCTACTTCTAAGGCTATAAATTTCAGAACGTGCTCAAAGAAACCTGCAGATTTCTCAGATGCTCCTGCCACTTCAATCAGAGCAATTTTGCTTTTATCTATTTTATATCTTTTGAAAAGTATCACAATTTTGAAATTTTTTAAATTATTGCTCTGTGATGTATAAGGCTTACAAACTCAGAAAACAATAGAAAGTAATATTTAATAAGCCTTACAGAGTAATGATCAAGAGCTCAAGCTTTGAAGACAGACACTTGACTTCAAGACCCGGCATCCCTCTTCCCTGATGTGGTGACATTGTCACCACAGCTCTGAGCTTCATTTGCTCATTTGTAAAATGGCGATAATAGACCCATTTTGCAGGGTTACTGTGCAGATCAAATGAGATAATGCATGTAAAGTACATAGCACAGTGCTAGCATGTAAGCTCAATAAATGCTTACTATTGTTATTATGGAGCCTTGGTGGAGCAGTAGTTAAGAGCTACAACTGCTAACCAAAAGGCTGGCAGTTCGAATCCACCAGTCGCTCCTTGAAAACCTGTGGGGCAGTTCTACTCTGTCCTGTAGGGTCGCAATGAGTCAGAAATGACTCAACTGCAATGGGTTATTGCTATTATAATTAATTAACAAGTGTCTGAAGCTCAAGTCTTAACATTTTAAGCCTTGGGTTCTGAACTCTGGCAGTGAAGCACTACAAGGTAGTACAGTAACAAAAAAAGCTACACCAACCCTCTGTGCCTGGACAGTAACTGCTTAGTGGCAATTATGTCTTTTGAGGTTTTATCTGTCTATAATACCTGAATAACTTTTCTTTCAGTATGAATTCGTTGTTCAAATGAAAGCATATGCAGAAGCTCGATATATATGAGACAGAGACAAAGTTGTTTAAGAGGAGAGAGTCAAAACGTCCTGCTTCCTCAGTTGTCATCAAGGATGGTATCTTGTTCTTTACTTCCAGCACTCAGTTCATTAACACAGTGGATACTAGGCACATGTTTGCTGAACTGTACTGAAGGAAAACTGCTCAAATGCTATGTCTTTTCTACAGTTTCCTATGATTCCCAGTACTCATTTATGTTAGCAAGCCTCTTGGTTTTTTCCTTTGTCTTGACTCACAAATCATACTTGGTCACAGAAGATTATGCTTCCATATGATTGTGCATCAAAGCTCCTAGGCCTTATGATGTTTCTTGATATTCATTTCCATCATTACAGTCAAATATTAGCAGGGCTCGATGCTCCCAAGGTCCATCTCTCCAACCACAGCTACTGGATTTATTTCCTACCCTTTTACTACCTCCATCAAACTTAGCTTCCCAGTATCTTTACCCAACAAATTCAACTATATTCATCCTGATTATACCTGATTCCGTTATCCCTCTCAACTTACCTCAATAATAAACTATCAACTTCACTATGCTTTACTGAGCAAACCCTAAACCCTGTTATGACCATCACAGATTTTTTTTTTCACTCTTTACTTACATCATAGAAAACAGATGAAGAAAAAAACAGAAAACCCAAATCCTTTATAAGCTTAGAGTGTAAAGTCATAGTATACATTAATCTTGCTTTTTTCCCCCAGTACTCAAGAACATTCCTTCATAGTCTGCCTATTTAACTCATTTCACAGCCCTTTTTACTCACAGCTCACCTATTATCCATTTTCTACTTAAAAATAACAGAGTTCATCCAACATGAATGACTTCATTTGCCCTAAACTTCATCTCAGCATATTACTGATTCCTCATCTATCCTCCTAAACTTTCCTTCAAAGTTTTCCTATAGAATTTTACTCAAATAATTATTTCTTCGCCAGGCTTCTTTTTACCTATTTCCTAACTTCCAAACACCTACCCAACTGAAATTACTGAGTATCACTAACAAACCCTCACTAGTCAAATGTAATGGACTCGTCTCAGTCCTTATTTTCTCGTATTCTGCGGCTCCCAGTGTTAGTGGTTTTTTTCTTCCCCTCTTTGGCTTCCATGACATGCTGCTAATTTTTCTCCTGCCATATGACAATGACCTTTCCTGTTTCCTTCCCTGATCTTTCTCCTGTGCAGTTTAAAGTTCTGTCCTCAGTACTCTGCTCTATTAACTCGTGTTCTTGGAAAGTTCACTTTCTTCATAGCTTTAACTACTGCCTCTATGTTCCTCACTCCCATACATATCACCAATTCTTGACTTTCACCTGGATTACTCTGTCTATAGTACAATTCTTTTGGATAATTCCAATGCCATCTCAATATTATTAATTCATTAAAAATTGGAAATTATATTTTTCTTTCCCTAAAATGTCCCTAACTATCCTCATTTCTATCAATGCTACTACATTTTTTATAACCTAACAATGAAGATGCCTTAAAGTGATCTCTAAACTGTCTCTCTTCATAATTACCAATAAATCCCCAGTCCTATAATATTTAAAATCACTACAAAAGAAGTTGCAGGGACAGATAAAAGAATAACACACTGGTCCCTCTTCCCTCAAGAGACTCAAAATGTAATTATGAGATATAAGACATGTAGATACAAGTCAAAATAACAAGGATGGGTGGGATTCAGATAGGCAGAAGCACTCCAGAGAAAACTGCACAAACAGACACAGGGTCAGGAAAGCTCAGGACAAGTGTGGCAAACAAAAGTTATTACACTTTGGAATATAGGGTTCACAACAGTGAGTGTCACATAAGAGACAGCAAATATAGTGTTCTTCTGAGTTTATCCATGAAAAGAAAAGTAAAAAAATATTTTTATTATGAAGACATATGAGTATATTTCTGGGTTGGCAAAGCATGGTACTGTGAAAAAAACACATGGCCTCAGGTAGCAGGGTGACTGGGACTGAACACCAGCTCTGCTGCTCGTAACTATATGGCTTAAGTAATGTCTCTGATCCTCAGTTTTCCTATACAGTTGTGAGAATTAAATGAGTTAAGCAAATTAAAGCATTTAGCACAGTTTTTCACAAGGTAGGTGTTAAATAAGTTTTTTTCTT